AATATACGGGAGTGCACAGCCACCCAGACCCCAACACCCAGTATCCACCCACTCAAGGTCCCCCCCCTCAACTATCCACAAGATATATGGCATGTGCCACACACTCACTTCAGCGTGTGTGTGGCACTCTTAGATGAGTTTCTTTTACTAATGGAATATACGACAACACCAAAAGAGCAGTGCCAGCTGCTCTTTTGGCATTGCCTTCTGTCTTTTTTTTATTTACTAATCTGTTCTTATTCTAGAGATACCTCCACCTCGCAATACCTCACCTGACAAACGAATAGACAGGCCTGGGGCAAAACACAGCAGCACGCACAGCCACCCAAGCCCCCCTTGAGTATCTGCAACATAGATGCCGACAAAACAAATATGGTGCCACACGCCCACTTTAGCAGGTGTGTGGCACTCTTAGGTGAGTTTTTTTTTGTTATGGAGTATACGACAATGCCAAAAGAGCAGCGCCAGCTGCTCTTTTGGCATTGCCTTGTCCTTTTATTTATTTACTAATCTGTTATTATTCTAGATACCTCCACCCCACGATACCCCACCCGACGAACAAACAGACAGCCAGGGTGAAACACAGCAGCACATGCAGCCACCCAAGATCCCCCCCCCTCAACCATCCGCAACATACACACCAACAACCAAATATGGCGCCACACACCCACTTCGGCGGGTGTGTGGCACTCTTAGGTGAGTTTTTTTTAGTTATGCAGTATACAACAATGCCAAAAGAGCAGCGCCAGCTGCTCTTTTGGCGTTGCCTTGTTTTTTATTTATTTACTAATCTGTTCTTATTCTAGATACCTCCACCTCGCGATACCACACCCGACAAATGAACAGACAGGCCCAGGGCGAAACATGGCAGCATGCGCAGCCACCCCCCACCACTTCAACTATCTGCAACATATGTGCCAATGAAGCAAATGTGGTGCCACACACCCGCTTCAGTGGGTGTGTGGCGCTCTTAGGTGAGTTTTTTTGTTATCGAGTATACAACAATGCCAAAAGAGCAGCTGGTGCTGCTCTTTTGGCATTGCCTTCTGTATTTTTTTTTTTTCATTTACTAATGTATTATTATTTTAGATAGCTCCATCCCATGATACCCCACCTGCCACATGAACAGACAGGGCCCAGGGTGAAACACGGGAGCACGTGCAGCCACCCAAGCCCCCCCTCGACTATCACCACCTATATGCCAACGAAACAAATATGGCACCACATACCTGCTTTGGCGGGTATGTGGCAATACTAGGTGTGCTTTCTTTTTGTTACGAGGTACCACAATGCCAAAAGAGCAGCCCCGGCTGCTCTTTTGGCATTGCCTTCAATTTTATTTGTTTACTACCATGCTGAGTGAAAACATGGCAGGGGATAAATACATGTATAGTAGTAGAGTAATAATAACATGCTATGGACATAAGAATCCTAAGTAAATAATAATAAATAATTGTGATTATTGCCGATAAGCCCACATAGCCCGCTGACCCATTTGGGGGTGTTCCTGGGCATTCCAGGACCTATCCCGATACCCCCCTAGGGCCCCAACCAAATATATCCATATGGTTCCACTCAGTGTTTGATTCTGCTCCAGAAAGATGGCAAGATGTCAATTTGACATCCAAGGATTGTCAATTGACATCAAAGAAAAAATAGGCCTCTTAGGCTGACTAGATGAGGCATTTGTCCTGCCTATTAAGGCCTATCCACTTGGCTGACTGAGGTGGCTTGAGAGGGATAACAGCACTGTTTACATGAGCCAATGCTTGGCCCAAGTCCCACTGGGCAAGGGCAGTCTCATTATCCAGCTTTCCTGTGTCCTGGGCCACATTTCTCACTGCCTTCCACTCTTCTGCTTCCTTAGAATCCACACCTATGAAGAAGCATTGAATCAAGTTGGATCCAAAGGGGCCAGCTCATTCATCATCAAAACCATCAATAAAAACAAGCATCACAGGTCTTCTAGCAGAGCCAGAATCTCTGGGGGACATGCACATGACTCTTATGTTCACTATTAATGTATATTTAAAGATATCTGTTCAAGCTGGTGGGAGTTGTAACCTAAGCTAAAACTGTGATGATCAAAACTGTGTGAAATCAGTGCTTAACTGACCCCTTTCTCAACACTCACTACACTGAACTCCCTGAAAATTGGGGGTCCTACTCATATGAGGGGCTCCTTTCAATGGTCCAAATCTCATACAAATCTGAACAGTGGAAGTAGCTGAATTTAAGAAGTGGTCATTGAGTGCTCAGTGTTCATTGAGTGGTAAAATACTGTATGGGTCAAACTTTCACAACCCTGCTCTTCCCCCATGGCCACACCAAAAAAGATGAAATGAAACAGGAAGGCTCCTCACCCTACTGAGCACAGTCAAATTATCAAATTATCACAGAAGCCATGCATGTGATCTGAGAGGATGTCAATGAGCCTCCATTCTCAGAGCAACCTGAGGATGATAGTGACATTTCCCTGGCAGATGTGATCCAGCACATGTCCACAGGTAACATCAGAACAGCTCTGCTTGGGGAGGATGGTGGTTTAGTCACTGTGGTAACCATTGTGGAGGATATTAACAATGAAGAACCATTTCTAATTAGTGACCCTGTCCCCCTGGTTCCACTGCTCACTGTCTCAGTGACCAGTGTACCTGGTAAAAGGGTTAGGAAGGCATGTGATATCAATCATGACATGTGATGGTGGCTATGATCAAATTGTACATAGTGTCTATATCTTTTTTTTCTGTCCTCTACATTTCCCTGCCAAAGTACAAATTAATAGATTACTAGCACTTTAGAGCACTCAAATTGAGTATGCGCACAGCCCTATTTCCAGGGCCCTCACCGAGCATGACCACACCCCTGGAAGCCAGTTCATGACCTCATGTGATGCATGACAAATTCCAAGGTTGGTTCAGTTCACAAGGGTGCATGACAGTGTGACTGAACTCTTGGTTGAAATTGGACAGTATACCTCTTGTATCCTTGCCTCTTTAGAAAGATCAAGAATATATATTAAGTCTCTCTGGGAATCAGTCTCTGTTGCTCTGCTCCTCCACATCCTCATCTTCCACATGTTGGAATAGGCGGTTATCAGCTATGGCATATTCATATCACATGCCAAATTGTGGCCTCCCCTTTCTTGCTGTTCTGGCCCACTCTAGGGCCACCCCCTTTTTTATTATATATAGTGTAGGTACTGTGTGTAAACCCCACTGGTTTGTACCTCCACAACACATGAGGTTCTTTATCCCAAAACCACAGCCAAAGTACAAATAATGGATTACTAGTGCTCTAGAGCACTCAAATTGTGTATGCATGCAGCCCTATTTCCGGGGCCCTCACCGAGCACCTGGAAGCCAATTCACGACCTCATGTGATGTGTGACAAATTCTGAGTTTGGTTCAGTTCATGAGGGTGTGTGACAGCGTGACAGAACTCTTGGTCAAATTGGACAGTAGGTCAATGGTGCCACAACTACGCAGATTGGGGGCTACAGTCATGGACAGTCAAACTCATGAAACTTTTCCTGAGCCTGAAATTATCCTCAGGTACCTTATTAAACCCTCGGGATATGCTCCAACAGTCTCAGTGAAGCTTCCCATACCTTAGATTATCATAAATTGAAGTTTTTTTTTTTTTGAAGTTCCAAAAATTGGCCAAAGGGCCAAATTTAAGTGCCCAGGGTCAGTAGGGGTATCAGAATGTAGGTATTTTCACGTAGATCATGATTCTGGTATATTTAAATGGTTTTAAACAGCCCAGAGTCCCCCAAAAAGGGTTTGGTCCCTGGGTCGAGACTGGAAGTATTTTTCAGCTATACCCAGAGTAAACCATCCTAGCTGTGCATCATGAGTGCTTTCTGCTTTGGGGCTGTAAATGAACTTGCTATTAATGGATCTGATGGATCTGATGATAATGGGAATCTATATGTCTTGCACAAGCAAAAGAGGCTGCCATCACCAGCCTTAACTCCTGCCCACTTGAGACCATCTGCCACTTCATCAATTGATCCTGGCAGTTTATGTCTGCATACCAGAAGGGGCTTACTGGAAAGGCAGCAGACTGGGCAGTTAGGAAACAAAAAGGACACCATGCTGTCTCTCAGCAGGCCATGCTTGCTATTGAATCCATTGTAAACACATAGTCCCTGTGCTTATAGTTCTTTTTCTAGGCATATATATAGCATACCACTCAGAATCTTGTGTATACTGTATATAAAAGCTCAATAGGACCTTCCAAAGTCCCTGGGGGGCCCAGGAGGCCAAAAAAAAAAGTGTAAAATTGGCCCCAAAAATTGGCCAATCCAAAAAGTGGTCAGAAACACTCAAATAAGGCATTTTTGGAATCCTTGGAGCAAGGGGAGTCTGAATTTCGTGTTTCCAAGACCCTGGGGTTAATGGTTCAGGCTCCAGGGAGTTTCACGAGTTTGGCTGTCCACAACTGTATAACCACGAGACCCCGTGCCTGAGATTTAGTCTAGAGCTCTACCATGAGTCTTCCTCCATTAATATCGGGGCATCTCTGACCGGAACATAAGTACATTGAATCGTATTTTTTCATCTGTCATTACTTAGCATACTACATACAAGGAAGTGAACACGCTCGGAACGAAAGACGAGACTAGACTTTTCTTTCGGAGTTGACCGCTGATGCTTTAGTTCTGTACCTTCTTTCTGCTAGAAGACGTCATTCCAGCCTGTGCTTGCGACTGGGTCTCCCTTCGATACTTCACTCAGATCCACCAACACATCCAAAACCACCGTCGCATTCTCGATCCACCCAGGACCCCTTTCCACATTCAAACACCTTCAGGGCAACCACGAGAGATCTACCTCAATGGCAGGCTGCGCGGCTTGAGTGGCGGCATTGGTAAACCTTCCCTAAGAAGTGACGCAACAACCTGAGGTGGTGCACCAAGAAATATTTCTCAAGTGCGGTGAGACCGCCGTTCCTGTGAAGTGTGATGGAGTGACAAAATGCCTAAGCCAGGTAGCGGTTCCATAGCACAGTAGGATAGTGCTTCGTACCTATGTGTAAACTGTATTCACTTTATAGTGAACGTATGCGATACGAGGGTCACGGGTTCAAATCCCGTTGGAACCAGTACTTTTGGAGTATTATTGCCGTCGTCTTCCCGTCCTCGGAGTAGCGCCTCTATGCGCGATCGCTTCACCGTAATTCACTCCTGTCTGGCACTGGAGAATGAATGCCCTACGACGGAATACAATATTTCCCGATTGTAACTTTTGCAGGAAGCTAGGTGATGTGGTGGTACTAGCACCAGGTGCCTTGAATCACATCTCAGAAAAGGTGGGGATGAATTGTTTTCATTGTGAGATACGTAGGTCATAAACCCGAAATGGGCGAAAGAATGAGGGCGACAGGGATACAATAATATCTAAAACCCCATCAAACCTCCGTTCCCAATTCCAATTCCAATGTATCAACTTCCGAGTGCACGTTTACGACTTAGCAATGTCTTTTGCTAATTGCTCGGCCTTCGCTTTCACGTCGTCGATTGTCCCAGCCTATAGAAAATGCAATGATTAGGTTCAGCCCGAGACGTGGAAAACGCTGCAACGGCACCATGTAGAAGGCAGATTCGGGTAAGGAGTCGTGTACACCAGTGAGAATTTCCTTGAATGACCGAACGGTATCCTTGAGCGGGACGAGCTTGCCCTCATAGCCCGTGAAGACCTGGGCCACGGCAAACGGTTGCGACATGAAGCGCTACAGCACAAAAGCAGGAGATGAGCTCGAGATGCAGTCTCGGAAGGCAGATTCATACCTGGATTTTACGCGCGCGCTCGACAGTAAGCTTGTCTTCCTCGGATAATTCATCCATGCCAAGGATAGCAATGATATCCTACAGCTACAATGAACGACACAGCCGATACCGTCACGACGCACAAACTGACCTGGAGACTCTTATAATCTTGGAGGATCTTCTGTACAGCGGTGGCAGTGTCGTAGTGATCTTGTCCGACCTGGAGAAGGAATGACGATAGTCGGACGGCGCGCTCGAATCAAAGTTATGGGTGTCTCACAATACGGGGGTCCAGCATGCGAGACTTTGAGTCCAACGGGTCCACAGCGGGGTAAATACCGAGCTCAGCAATACCACGCGAAAGCACGGTCGTGGCGTCCAAGTGAGCGAAGGTCGTGGCGGGGGCAGGATCCGTCAAATCATCGGCAGGGACGTACACGGCCTGCACGGAGGTAATTGAACCTTTCTTCGTGGTAGTAATACGCTCTTGCCTGAGTTCCGGGATCAGAGGCGAGGCGTGGGATCATGGACAAGGCGGAACTTACATGCCACCCATGTCTGTCGACAGAGTGGGCTGGTAACCGACCGCAGAGGGGATGCGACCGAGCAAAGCAGACACTTCAGAGCCAGCCTGGGTGAAACGGAAAATGTTGTCGATGAAGAGCAACACGTCTTGCCCTTCTTCATCACGGAAGTACTCGGCAATGGTCAAACCAGTAAGAGCAACACGGGCACGAGCTCCTGGGGGTTCGTTCATCTGTCCGAAGACAAGAGCAACCTTGGACTCGCCGTCAAGTTTAATGACACCGGTTTGAATCATTTCGTGGTACAAGTCATTACCCTCACGAGTACGCTCGCCGACACCTAGTTTAATACCATGAGGGTTCGACTCGAGGGTAAAGATGCAGACGGAAACAAACCGCAGAAGATAGAGAAACCACCGTGCGCCTTGGCGACGTTGTTAATCAATTCCTGGATGAGCACAGTCTTACCGACACCTGCACCTCCAAACAAACCAATCTTCCCACCACGAGCATATGGAGCAAGGAGGTCGACGACTTTAATACCAGTCTCGAGGACCTCAGCAGTCGTGGATTGCTCAACAAATGGTGGTGGGTCGTTGTGGATGGGAGAAAGGCGGTCACCCTTGATGGGCCCACGTTCATCGATGGGCTCGCCAATAACATTCATGATTCGCCAAGAGTGGCAACGCCAACGGGGACCATGATGGGTGCACCAGTATCGACGACCTTTTGCCCACGAACAAGACCTTCCGTACCATCCATGGCGATTGTTCGAACGCTGTTCTCGCCGAGATGGGAAGCGACTTCGAGGACAAGACGCCCGCCTTGGAAGCCTTGGACCTCGAGAGCATTGAGGACAGGTGGCAGGTCCTCCGTTTCGAATTGGACGTCAACGACGGCACCAATGACTGTTTTCACAGCACCAACGTTTGCCTTGGCCTCAGTGGCATAGAGACGACCTATAGAAAATAAAAGGTGTTGAGAGAGAGAAAAACCTTATGCCGACGTCATGTACCAGATGATATGAGAGACGGCTTTTGCGAAATTTGGCGTTGCTGGGCGACTGGGACGGCGGCAGCGCGCAGAACACCTGGCACGGTGGAGAAAAGGGCGGCATTGGCCCGGTGAGCCTGGAGGGCTTTACGCGGCAAGCGCGCGATGCCTCGAGCGGACGACATCGTTTTGGTGGGAGTTTGAGAAAAGAGAGGAACCAACCGGCAACGGCCTTTGCATCCATTTTAGTCCGGTGTTTCCCGATCTATATAATCATTCCATGACCGATGCTGGTGAAGGGAAGCAGTCCGGACAAGATTTCAGTGAATGGAATCTGGAACCAGGCGCAGAGTATCGCTTCGAGCTGGAACAGGCGTCTCTCTGGCCATAAAAGTGAGTCCAGGGCAGAGGACGTACAGTACTTATGTAGAAACTCATTCTCTGCCAACAGTTAGTGCCAGGGCGAAGCAGAAATATTTGGCGCAGAACTAGCGCTAGGTCGTACCTATCTATTTGGCGCGGAATGCAAGGCTGCCGTGTTCACCTGGCACGGTTGTACGCTAGAGATGAGTTAACCCGAACCATGCCGCTCCACTGGGCTGGAATTTACTTGGAACGATCTGCTCACGTCACTGGAAAGCCGTCAACCGAATACTTCTCAGACGAGACACCGATGGTCCCCTATGTCAATATGCATTTAGCACTTGAACAGATGCGTGTATTGGCTAACCGAGCCGCCAGAGGCTCCCCCGAGCCTCCTCCCCATCATGAGAGCGATCCACGTCCCCCACGAGTGTTAATAATTGGTCCTGAAAACTCTGGAAAAACTTCCGCCTGCAAAATCCTCGTCAATTATGCCGTTCGCTCCCCGGGAAAGTGGACGCCAATGCTCGTGAACCTCGATACCAACGACGTGAGTCATCGTTACGCTCTTCCTGGAGCCTCCCTAATCCCCCCTACCAGGGCGGTCACACTGTTCCCGGAACCCTTTCTGCAACATCCGTCAGCTCACCTCTTCTTGCTTCGTCTCCAGCAAGTACGCTTGGGTCCACGGCCACTTCCGCTCCAACAGCATTATCTTCTTCAGCTCTTATGCCTCTCATCTACTGGTTTGGCTTCGCACAGCCAAAGAAAAGCCCGATATTAATGGAACGGCGTATGCTAGAGTTAGCTGAACAGGTCAGTCAACGGCAGAAATTGGACCCTCTAGGTAACAGCTGTCACCCTCCTGTATCGTAAAAATATCTTGAGAACCGCCGTGATTTTTCCTAAGGACACGCTTCCGGAGTGATCATCGATTCCTCAGCCAGCTTTGCGTCGGCCGCACCGTTTGGTGGTTCAGGTGATCAAAAGTATCCGCTAGTGAAGTCTGCAGTTGATACTTTTGGCGGTATGTATTCAGATTATCTGTCACCGAGATGATTTGGTAACAAATCTTGGCCAGTGAATATAATCGTCGTTGTTGGGCACGAAAAGTTACATGTTGAGATGCAACGCTTGTTTGGCACCTACACTTCTGCAAATCCTAGCATCACCATCGTCAAGATTCCTAAGTCGGGAGGAGTATGTGATTCTTGTCACCCCTTGCTTTCTTGTCTTGACTGTGATCGCGCAGGTTGTGGAAATTGACCACGCCTATCGTGAACGACTTCATGCCCACCAATTGAGGACCTACTTCTACGGTACTCCACTCTTCCTCCCAAAGAATATGACAGAGGCATCGGCCAATCTTGGGGGGGAGGCGTCAACAGAATTAACACTTTCCCCATATTCATCTGTTCTCGGTTTTGATGACATCCTAATCTATCGAATCGGTGGTGGTAAGAGTGTTCTGTTATTTGTCTGGTTTCCACGGGACAATGGTCCTATTCCTATTTAGAGAGTCTGGCCCCATCTTCCGCCCTCCCGATCGGTGCCGCACCTATTATATCAGAGACCAAGCCCGTCCGAGTGGATCCTGCTATTCCAGGGTCCGGTCTCATGAATAGCCTCCTTGCTGTTCTTACCCCGATACCACCTCGCGCAGCATCGATCGGCAGTGGTGCCACTATGCCGGAACCATCAGATGAAGAAATTCTTCATCGAGATGTGGCAGGATTTTTACTTGTGTGCGTGCTCTTTTGACTCATCCTCACCCTCTTTCTCGCTACTGATCACATTTAGTGTAGCAACGCGATCGACATTCCGAATCGAAAAATGACCATCCTGGCCCCGTCACCTGGTTCTCTTGTGGGACGCATTGCCGTGACAGGATCGTTTGAGTGGCAGGATCAATAAGGGTGGTCGGTAGCAAGGGTAAATATGTTAAGGGTACAATAATGGGACAAAATAATCAAATTACTCTAAGCTTGGTACTGGGAGTGGGGAAGCTAGAAAAGAGCAAAGCCTAGAACAACGCATGGAAAATCTCCTCGGTCTGCTGGAAGGTGGGTTTGAGTTCCCGCTCGAAATCTTTCAAGAGATCGTTCGCGCGGCTGCCAATGACTTCGTGAAGATCCTTCCATACGCCTTCTAGCAGCCCGTACATCAAGATGCGAGCAGATATTACGAGATTATGCTGCAACGGTGCCACCAACTGGCCAATGTGGGGATGTGACAGTAGAGATGATTCGGACGCAGAGCTAGGGGATGGTGTGCTCTTGAGTTGCTCGAGAAACACAGCAGCTTCTTGGACCCATTGCTCGTGCTGCGAAGAAAACATTCAGAAGATGAATGTAAAAGAAGGAATTTCGGCGTACTTTTATAATCCTGCTCTCCAAGTCTCGATTCAACCCTTCCAATTCAGAATTACGGAGCCGCCTCCTCGCGACCTCATTTTC